AAGTTATTTCCAGGAAAACTGGCTCAGGACCCAGCAACCAAGTAAGGTGCAGCCTCCTGTGGTTCTCAGAGCTGGTCCATCTCTGCCCCCTCCTCCTCCTTGTGGCTTTGTGATCTGCCTTCTCTATTTCCATATATATATGAAAGAGAAAGCCAACATTTAGTTGCATCCTTGTATTTAATTTTTTCTCGATAAAATTATTTCCCTTTTAACATATATTCTTCCATAGAAAGCTTCCTGGTTCTTTGATTCTTCATCTATTCATTCATTCAGCAAATCATTATTGAGTGTTCATTATGTGCCTAGTGCTGCACAGTTAACAAAAAAGAAAAAAGAAGTCAAATACATGGAATGGTACCTCGTGATAGTGCTACAGAGAAGAATGGAGCAGGAAGGGAAGGGGTGTGGGGTTCTGGGGCCCAGATCCTGAGAGCCTGGGAAAGCCACAACTCTGAGATGGTCGGACAAGGGATCAAGAGGAAGACACACCAGTGCTTTCCACTCTGGCTCTTACCAAAACCACGCCAGGGAACTTGTAACACATACAGATTCCCAATCATCCTTAGACATTCTCATTCTGCAGGTCCTAGGGTGGCTAGAATGATGTGCTTTTAAGAAGGGTTCCAGGTGATTCTTGTGCAGCTGTTGGTCACAAGCCCTTGGTTTGAGAACCAGTGATCTAGAGATCAGAAGCCAATGGAGGTTTCAGTCCAACGAAGCATCCAGAAACCGGAGGGTCACATATGCTGGGGAAGGAGGCAGTCGGGGACACTAATGTCTGGCAGCCTGCTTCTCCCTCTTCCTTCCCGCTACCCGTCTTCCATAGGATGGGAACCAGCCCCTTCTTGTATCCTTCATCCTGTCTACATCTTGGCATAGAATCCATGCTCAAAGCCCCAAACCTGGTTTGCTCCTCATATGCAAATGAAAGTTGCTTTTGGAATTAGGAAAACTCTACTCTCCTAACAAATCTTGGCTTCCCAGACCCCTGTCTTGGTATGGATCAAGAAAGCCTAACAAACTGAGCAATGGCTCCCTCGTGCTGGACAGCACCCACGCCTCCTTCTGAAACAATGAGTCTCACTGATGCAGTGAGGGAGAGAAAACCGCAGGGGACACGGTTTGTGGAGCACGGAACACATTGGTTTAAAGTTGGAAAAACATTATCCTTGCCACATACTTTTTAGTCCTCATGTTTCCTTTATTTAAGCAGCATTTAACACCCCTTTCCTCCTTGAAATACTCTCCTTCCCCATTCTCCTGGAATTCTGTCTCAGGCTGTTCGTCCTGTCTTCTCTGCAGGTTTCTGCTCTGCCCTTCACTGCAGTAGGGGTCTCCTCAGCACCCTCTTCTCTTCTATGCGACAGGTGACCTCACCCACGTCTGTGTTTGTTTGTTTTTTTATTTATTTTTTATTTATCCTCACTCGAGGACATTTTTTTTTCCATTTTTTTTGCACAGATAGAGTGGGAGGGAGAGAGAGGAAGAGAGAGAGAGAGAGAGAGAGAGAGAGAGAGAGAGAGAAACATCGATGTGAAAGGGACACATCGAGTGGCTGCCACCCGCACGACCAACCAGGGCCGGGGACAAACTGCAACCGAGGCACATGCCCTTAGCAGGAACCGAACCCGGGTCTCTCCGGACCGCAGGTCGACACTCTAACCTCTGAGCCAAACAGGCCAGGGCCACGTCTGTGTTTTTGATGACCATCTTTCCTATCCTTATCTCCTGAGCTCCAGATCTGCAGTAACATCTTCCTGATGCATCTACTTAGATGTTTCCCAGGAACCTTAAATTCCCCAGGTCTAAATCCAGAGATGGAGAGGAAGGGGATTCACCCCCTGCCCCTGGAATGGCATCCTTCCAAATGGGAACCCAAGAAACCAAACGGAAGTATATTCAGTAGAAAGATGACTTCGCAGGGAATTCATGAGTTCACTGGTAGAATACGTTAAACAGTGGTCTAAAACTGAAACAAAACCCAGTAGATGTCTCTAAAATTTCTTCCCCTCCTCCCTCTCTTTAATTTATGGCAACCCCCTTTCCCTAGCGCTGTGAACCTCTTGGAGGAACTCCATTTTCTACAACGAATTCAGGCGCTAAAGAATTCGATTTCTGAACCAGAAGAAAATGCTTTGGATCCCAAAAGCACTAGATTTGTTCGGGAAACAACATTGTATCGGTTTCTGGAATACACCCTGTAAGGTGCTAAAGACATCTGGACCCTGACAAGGTTCTTCTTGTTTTTCCCCAAAGAAACACAGCTCAAGAGTGTCAAGAAAACTCTTCTTCTTTCTTAGTGTTTTTCAATCAGATCCACATCACCGGGTTCTTTTTAACAAATGCCTTGCCTCCTGCACCTGTGTCACTGTCACACCCTTCTTGCACACGAGGGAAGACAGGGATGCAGCCTGTCGGGCTACCGACGTCACCCCCTTGTTTCCCTTAACTCAACATTTTAGTGTCTTGCCATAAACGTGCCTCCCTTGAACTTGTCCAGTGATCAAAACAACGCTTTGCAACTTTTTAAAGGAGCAGGCCCTTCCTCCAAGCAAATCCTGCCGTGAAAGCGGACACGGAAAAGCGGAGCGGGCTCCTGCTGCAGCTGGTGGGGAACTGCGAGCGGTGGTTCCCAGCTCAGGGTTTACACGGAATCACCTGGGGAGCTTGAGAACCGTCCAGCCTAGGCTGCACTCCACACCAAACCAATTTAATCAGAACGAGATGCGGGGCGCAGATAGCGATGGTTTTCAAAGCCGCCCAGGTGGCTGCAATGTGTACCTGCGGCCCCGGAGGGCGGCCTCGGGCTCTCCGCGCCCTGGGCCCTCAGGCTGGAGCCTGGCCCTGCCCACTGAGCATGCGCGGGCCGGCCCCACCCGGATCCCGGGGTGTGCTCTCGGCCGCCCTCCAGCGGCGGAGGCTGCAACCTTCCCCTCCTGGGGTCGGATGGCGGAGCTACATTTCTCAGGCAGCTTTGCTGGTAAGAAAGGAGGCATTTTTATTCCCTGTGTCTGAAACCTGTTTCCATGCCTCAGTTGGTTCCCAACTTGGGCATAATCTAGAGAAGCGTTGTTTCCAACCCCCTCCGCAGGTTCCCATCGAGGCCCCATTTGCTCCACTTCCCTTCCCCACCTCCAGGCCACCCCTGGAACAATCCAAGGAGCTTCGGCGCACAAGTAGGCCAGAAGAGACGCAGCCAGCAGAGAGGTTCCGCATGTGCTGGAGCTGGGTTCTACTCGGCCTTGCTACTTAGTATCTGTGTGATGGGGCATGTTGCTCATCTCTCTGTGCCTCCGATTCCTCACCTGTTAAATGAGGTGGCGGTGCCAGTGTTTACCTCACAGGAATGTGAAGGTTAAATGTGTTAACAGGAGTGGGAGCCCTTTGAGTGGCTCCTGACACAGGGCGAGAGCCCGCTGCCTGGCGCTGGAAGCCGGCTCGCCCTGGGCCCTGCGATAGCAGCAGCCGCCGTGGAAACACAAGTTAAACCTCATGGAAGACGGGCAGGGTCACTGGTTTCTGAGTGAGTTTAATTGGCTGGGGTTTATAATGTAGGGGACCTTTTCTTCTGCTGGCGACTTCAGAAAACGTACAGGAATTAAACAGGATCCCGTGGGTGAGCGTCTTGGGTGTGAGCTGAGAGTAGCTTTCATCTACTGAGCCTCAGCCAGGCCACTCCAAGCCCAGCACTGAGCAGCAGCTGGAGTGCCCAATGGCTCTGGAGCTGCCCTTCAACCTGGGACCCCGACGGAGGCAGGCCCTGAGCCACGTCACGTCAGAAGCCCTCAAGGGCTCACTCTGAGTTGTTGCAGAATTCGGAACGGAAACTAAAGCCAGGCCAGCAAAGGAGGGGCCATCAGTGAGGGTCGGGTGTGAGAGAACTTGGCTGGGAGAAAGGACGAACAGGTGGAGAAGGGCAAGGTTCCTGGGTGGGGGAAGGAGGGAGCCCGGGCCCTTAAGAGCTGGAGCACGTAGGGGATGCTGCTCTTCCCTCTGGCTTAACAAGAAGGATAACCAGGGCGTGCATTGACCAGAATGTGCATTGACCAGGGCGTGCACTGACCAGGGCATGCACTGACCAGGGCGTGCACTGACCAGGGCGTGCATTGACCAGGGCGTGCATTGACCAGGGTGTGCAATGACCAGGGCGTGCATTGACCAGGGCGTGCCTGTACACCTTGAGTTCTCCCCGGGACACCCCTTGGTCCTCCGTAGCAATGCATGGATATCTCTTTCCTGCTTCAGGTCTGACTCAGAGCTCACCTTTTTTCAGGCTGTTCTCTGGTTCCTAGCTATGCAAAGAGTGCTTCAGCCCTGACTGATTTGGCTCAGTGGTTAGAGTGTTGGCCCATGAACCAATAAGTCGCAGGTTCGATTCCGGTCAAGGGCACGTACCTATGTTGCAGTTTGTCCCTGGCCTGGCCGGGTCATTCAGGAGGCAACCAGTCAATGTGGCTCTATAACATCGATGATTCTCTCTGTCTCTCCCTCCCTCCCATTCTATCTGATAAGAAATATAAAAATATCCTTGGGTGAGGTATTAAAATAAAAATTAAAAAAAGAGTGCTGAAGCTTCTGCATCACCTGCGAGGCTGTTAGAAATGCGGAGTCTTGGGCCCTATCCCAGGCCTTCTGCATCAGAATCTGCATTTTAACAAGACAACCAGGTGACCCATTAGACATGAGAGTGAAGAGCACTGCCCAGTTTTCTCTTGTGTGTCCCCGAGTGCCAGCGGCAGAGTCTCAGGACGCAGAGGGAGGTCACACGTGCTCATTGATTCAGTGATCGAGACAGCTGGGGATGTGGGAGGTGGGGAGACGGAAGACACTCTGGTACAGGATTCTGTGCTTTCTGCAGAATAGGGAGGTCTGAAGGCCCAGGGCAGGGCGTTTTGTTGCGCAGTGTGGAGGTGTGATGAGTGTGAGCCAGTTCTCCATCTCAGTTTGGAGAGAAAAAACCCGTTCCTTAAGGAATTGAGTCTGCGTGTTTGCTGTCTTACCTCATTCAGCTTTTCAGGACTGAAAGCAGAAGTTAGGACACTTCTGACCTCTTCCCATCGTTTGTCACGTAAAAACAGGATGCTGTCAGCTACCGGTTTGGATTCCAAACCCGTTGCCTGATGGAAAGCAACAAGCAGAGGGTTAGGACACAGGGGAGCCCAGGCCACCTGGGTGGCAATACAGGTGCGTGATAAACACTCTAGTTAAAGGCCCACCAGTGAGTAACAAATGAGGAGGTTTCTTTGGCAAGGACACAGAAGAATATAAAGACTCAGAGATAATGATCTAAACATTCATGGCCCAGGGCCAGGGCAGCAGACAGATAAGCTCTGATTGCCCAGTTCCGCCCTGTGACAATGTGGTCATCGCTGTATAAGTAACTCAGCGGTTCTGTATGCTCTGCGGTCTCCCTACAGAGTGAGGGTTCCCTGAGGACCAAACAGTGGGCTTCTTGGGATGGGCTGGTCTCCCCCGGGATGGACTTTCATGGCTGAACTTTGGCGGCAAGGGGTTTTGTGTGGCTGGATTGGTCAGGTTGGGCTGGGGAGTTGACACACTCATGTGTCTGGGTCCTTGGCGTGTGTGGGTGGGGTGGGGTGGGGCAGATAAGGTGGGGAGTGTGGAGGGAGGGGGAGGGGGAAAAGGAGAGTCCTTCAGAAGCATATCCCAACTGAGCTGCTACCAGAAGAACCATGCTTCTGTTTCTCCACTCACTCACTCATTTGTTCTTCTCATTCAGCAAACACTTGCTGACTAGCTAATGTAAGCAAAGAGTTGGCTCTCTTTGTTCTTGCTGAACAATGAAGCCACTGCTTTGACCCTCTAGGAGTTGATAGTCTAGTGGGGAAGCAGACAGTAAGCTCATAAACTAACAGATATCATTACCGTTCATGAGAAAGTGAGTGTTGCGAAGGAAGAAAGTAGGGCACGGTGAGAAAATGGTGGGGGCATGGTCAGGAGGGCTTCTTGGAGGAGGAGATCGTTACTGAGTCTGGAAGTGTGCAAAGGATGAGCTCTTCTTGTCCCTTCCTTCCAGCCTCTTCTTTTTCCCTCTAAAACCAGCTACTCCCTAGTGGTCAAAACTGGGGGCCCCCACAGCTGATCAGAGTGTCCCCCAGCCTGAGGCTGCAGGGTCTGAGGAGGTGGGGGGATTGGAGGACCAAACGCTCTTCAGAATCACGTGTGATATATGATTTCACTACTTCTTTTCACTGTTTTAATTATAGTTGAAACACGAAGCCAGCCATCATAACTCAAAAGCCTTGTAAAAACTCCTATTTAGAGGAAAATTATAATTTTCTGATAAAATATGAGCACTCAACATAAGCTATAAAACATAACTGCAAAGTACCTAGGGAGGGGATTTAATTATATATTAGAACCAAGTTGCTGGGCTATTTTTCTGCAGAGGAACACCTCTCCGTGTTTAGAATGACATTCTTTAGGAGTGCCTTGGTCGCCATACACAACTGTGGGTTTATGGAGTTTGGGGAACATAACCCATTTGTTTAGGTTCCAGAGTCAAAGGAGAAAAGCATGCATTATGTATATTTCTATATTGGCAAACACCCAGGCCTGTGCAACGCAGCATGAAATACAGCATTTCACTCCAGGGGAGTGGTTTATGGGGTTCTGATGAAACAGCATAAATTAGAGATAAGAGCCAAGATTGATTGGATTTTGGATCCATCCTTCAGACCTAGGATTGGATCCAGGACATTCTTTATCTTGCACCTGGAAGACAAATCCAGCCCTCCGCGCGCTGTCAGCATCGCCTCCAGGCCTCTCCTCCCACCCTGCCGCGACCACACTCTCTCCCCAGCCCGCAGCTGCCATGAGAACCCTCGCTTTCTGAACGGAGAGTCTCGGGGGGCACTGGTTAGAGAAATGTTTTTATCCCTAGATACACTGTAAGAGGGAGAGCAGCCGATCGATCATGTCAGAAGAGGGGATGTCACTTCATGTCCTAGAAAATAGTTGTCAAGTTTGGGGATTTTCAGTCGGAAAGAGAAGACTCGGACGATCAGAGAGTGGTACTTGGCACATGCTCAGAAGACACTGAATGTGCGTTGCGTGGAGGAGGGCACTGAGGCTGCTGTTGTGACCTGAGGGTGGAATCGGGCTCGACAGGGGAGTCGTGGGCAAAGGGCCGCGCATCTAAAGAACTTCCCGGTAATCAAGAGGCAGACTTGTTTGCAGATAAAATACCCCGCCCTGAGCGCTGAACCCCATTGCTGGAGACTGGCCTCTCTTCTCTGCTGCACAGGAGGCTGGGGTCTGGTCGAAATGGCCTTTATAAACTCTTCCAACTCTGAGACTTCCTCTCCAGAACACCCCTCCAGGTATTTTTTATTAGCTTGCCTACACACACACACACACACACACACACACACTAATTGTGGCAAAAGACACATAATGTAACATGTACCATCCTAACCATCTCTAAGCGCGCAGCTCAGAGGCATCCGGTACACCCACAGTGTTGTGCAGCCTGAACCCCGTTCATCCACGGACTTCTTTCATCTTGCAAAACAAACTCTGTGCCCCGCCCCGAGCCCCGCCTGCGCAGTGGGGCCTTGGAAGGCACAGAGGGCTGTCCTCCCAAAAAGTGAGCAATGGGCCTGGGAACTCTGCTGGGGGCAGGACTGTGGGGGCAGAAAATGACCACGGGTCTCAGGAGGGGGAGCCAGGGAAACGGCTTCCTAGCCTCCTGTCCTCAGCCAGCCCCGTGCGCGAGTGTCGGCTTGTTCCACTGCCCTCCGCCAGGACGAGCCGGCGGCAGACCTGGGCCAGTGGACTCAGTGTAGTCGATGGACAGCAGCATTTTAAAAAGGAAAGGGAAAGAAGAAATAGAACAGAGTAGAAATATAGAGGAGCGTGTTATAAAGTAAGGCTATTTTGTTGCTGTAAAACTTCTACTCCAAAGTGTGTGTGTGTGTGTATGTGATATAAATAGAGAGAAAGGAAATATTTTGTGTCATGATGTGAACTGTGTTTCTTACTGTAGGTCACAGTAAAAAAAAAAAAAAAAAAGTGTAAAACCTATTTTAACCCAAATGCCAAACCCGGGAGTCAGCCTCTCCCTCAACTAAAGTTTGTCAGTCACAGTGTTATCGAGTTGTGAACATGTGTTGAGCACCTACTATGTGCCAGGTGCTGTGTGAGCAAAGGATGGGATTCTTGCCCTCAGGGAGCTCATGGGGTGGTTGAGAACCAACGTTTGCTGATCTGACAGCTGAGTAAGTCCTTTTCATGTCACTTCACTAATTTGGGGGTAATTCTCCAGCAATTAGGGAGTGCTGTGCTGATAAGCAGTGATGGTTCAGCAGTGGCCTCGGACACCTGAATGTGTTTACCTTTTCAGTTAAGATCTCATAAAACAGAGTCTGACTTCTTACTAAGCATAAACTTGAAACTTGGAAGCATGACACAATCCTGGGGAGCAAGTTATTAAAGAAAACCAACAGCTCGGCATTCTGTGGTCCCATGAAGAGAGAAACCATCCATCGGGGGTCGGTCCTGAGCCAAGCCGGTGACTCTCAGCTGACCTGGCGCGCCCCCTGTGGAACGCCCGCTGACCCCAGGGCGCGGAGAAGCACGCGGTGCACTTCTGTGGTACCCGAGTGCGTGTGCTGTTTTAAACAGGGCACGAGAGGCATAACAGAATATGAAGCCATAGCCAGAGAAAGTTTCCCTGGGCCTGGGACCTGCAGGAACGTTACTCCAGATGTGTGTGCTGTCGGTGGAGCCTTGGCGGGGGAGTCGGCAGCTCTCCAGGAGCCACACAGCACAGGTCTCGGGCACGCAGGGTGAGCTGGGTTAGTGCTGAGCAGGGCAAGTAGGCTGCAGAATGTGAATATCAGAGAGTGTGCCGTGATCACAGGAGGCCGGGTCCCTTGGGACAGACTTTCTGATGTTCACAGGACCTCACCCGGGTGAGGACGCTCCCGGCACCACCCGTCCCTCTCCTCACCGGGTATCTGACGCGTCTCGCATGGCCCTCATTGGATCGCAACCATCAGGGACTCTAGAACTCTGTCCCTCGGAGAACCCCAAATTCTATACCTGAGAACATGTGCTCTTTTCTACAGATGGCTGCGGCTGTACAGAGATTTCCACCAGGACTTATATCGTGGTGCTTTGAAGAAGCAAAAATGCCCGTCCCCCCGGATGGTTTCATCCTTTCACACTAGGCTGGTAGAAGATGGTCACAGAGATCACGTGGTCTTTCCTGTCTCTGCTTCAGCCCATGACTGGCCTGAGGGTCTGGCCTCCGAGTAAGGTTGTGCAGTGTGGCCACAGCTCCGGGGGCAGGGCCTACGGGGCTAAATCCGGCTTGGGCTCCATCTGCCACCTCATCGTGTAATCTGGACAGTGGCCTGATACGGACCCTGGTAGCCCCGCCTGATAGAGTTCCGGGCCTTTCCGCCAAGGAGGGGAAACCACAGGCTTGGGTCTGTGTTTCCATGGCCCCGTGCCCCATGGCGCGGGCCTTCCTGCCTGGGGTAGAGGGTGGAGCGTTTGTGACATCGTATCTCCAGAGGAACATCTTCACCAGCTCGGCAGCGTCTCGCAGAAGCAGTGTTAAGGAGGGACCGGGTGTCTCTGACAGAGCACCTGTCACGCTTGGCTGGGAAAAGGAAGTCTCCTGATGGCCCAGGAGGGACTCTTGTGTCCGAAGCTCCAGTGGCCCTCTGGGATGCTGGTGGGACTCCATGGTCACCTGTCGGCGCTGACTGCACCTGACCTGGGAACCCAGAGACCCCGTGGGGAGCTAGTCTAACACTCATGTTTTACACAAGAGGCCAAGTCACAGAGCTAATAAAAGGCAGCAAATCTGGAACCTAATTTCCATTCTTTCAATCCAGGCTGAGTGTTTCACTCTGCTGCTGGGCTGTGGCTTCAGAGAGGGGAAAGAGATGCTACGAAAGGAAGTTGGGATGGAGAAGGAGGGAAAATCACGACTCACTGGCTCAGTAACTTGGCTTCCACGGAACATTCAGGAACACAACCATCAAGAGACCAGAATTGGCTTCTTTACTGATCTCTCCCCCAAATTCTAGATATTAATCTCCTGGTTTATACATTTATTTCTACTTCTGCCTCCACAAAAGTT